TCCCTGGATCCTTCTCTTCTCCAGGTGAACCCCCCCAGCTCTCCCAGCCTGGCTTTTCCTTACGTGGGGACTGCCCATCCCTCTGCCCTGATCCCATCCCCAGGAATGGGAGTGAGGAGGGAACATCACCTGGGGATCTGAGCTGGGTTCTCAGTGGCCAATTGTGTTCCAGGGAAGGAAGGAAATCCAGCACAGCCAGGTCCCTGCAGGGTCAGGAGAGCAGGGAATGGTTGTCTCAAAAAAAAACCCCAGAGGGAGCCTGGACAACTGAGGTGCCAAACTCTGTGTGACTGTGCCTGGATCTGACCTCAGGGGGTTAATTCTTGCTTGAGTCACGTTTAGCCTGACTTCTGGTTTAATAACATCAGACACTTCTAACTTCTCTTATTCTCCAGCTTTGCTGGGGACAATAATTGGTTGTCATGAAACCAAATTACAGCTCATGAAAAGTAAAGGTGAAAATGAAAACTGATGATATTAAAACCAATCTCTTATTTCAGGCAGCCCCTGGAACCCGAGCAAGTGTTTTTCTCACAAGTTTTCATTTGTTGTTGCCTTTGGCTCAGGCTTGTTGGTGTATCCAAGGATCCCTTAAATAATTCCTGTGTAGGATCACAGGACAGTTTGGTTTGGAAGGGACCTTAAGGATCATCTCATTCCAGCCCAGTTTAGTCCAAAGCTGCTCAACAAATGAGCTTCTCTGACAACATGAGGTGTTTTAAAGTTTGGAATCCTCCCTCTGCACTCATGTTTTCTGTCCCTGGGTATTGGCTGTACCCTGTGTCCGTGGCTGTCACCAGTTCTGTACTAGAACATCTTAAAATCCTGAAGAAAATGGGACTAAGGAGTGCCTGGACACTTCTGACAACATTGGTTGTCCCAGCACAGGACCCCTTGCTCCCCCCCAAAGCACCATCTGCTCCCCCCTGATTGAATGAGACCCACAAGGGTCGATTTTCACAACTGGAATTTCCATCTATGCAACATTTGGTGGGAATTGGAGATGGGATTAAATACACTCTTTAATTCATCACAGTGCAAGCTCTTTTTCCTCATCATTTCAAGCTAAAAAAAAGAAAAAAAAAAACATTTCTCCTGACCTGTGATCTTTTCTTGCAGCAATTACCTCAGTGACCTTTTCCTGGGGTTTAAAGATTGAAAACAATAAGGGTTTCTCAGTCTTTGCAGCTTGTAATTTCTATTTGGGATTCAGAGAGCGCCAGTAATGAACTATGATTTATTTGCTGAGCAGTTACAGTGAGCCAGTGATGTCGAAGAGTGATTTTCTTGACCCACAGTCAGCCTCCTGCTTCTCTAAACGAGCTCATTGGGATGTTGTGCAGCTCCCCTGACAGGGAGGAGGCATTTCCAGACCCAATTCCAGTCAAATGGGATATGTTTTAAAAAAAAATTCAATATATGAGTCAAGACTGAAATTGAGGGAACCTAATTCTTGTCAAGTTCTGTTTGGGTAGAATCAAAAGCATTAACTGTAGAGGGAAATGTCCAGTTGGGAGTGGAGTTTGTGGTCCAGGTCTTTGTATATCACTGGTGCTTTGTGGTGCAAATAATAAGAATTATTTGCAGGAAATTAAGGAGCATCTTCTGGTCTGTGGAGGAAGCTGCCAAAATAAAGTT